TGGATTAGGCTCTTACTGCTAGCTCTTAGGTTTTCCTTGTTCTTGAGACCACACCTGCCCTTGACTTTGGCACAACTATCGGAATGACGGGTATGATGATTGTGGATAGCATGGTTTTATACTGACTGTAATGTTTTTTAAATGTTTTAATGTATTTTAATTTTGATTTTAATTTAATTTAAACATTTATTTTAATTGTACATTGTTGTTAAGGCATTGAATTTTTGTCTATCTGTAAGCCACCTTGTGTCCTCCTTGGGGTTGAGAAAAGCAGGATATAAATATAGTAAATAAATAAGTCAGAATGTCAGGAGAGAATGATTCTAGAACATGGCCTTACTTGAAATTACTTGAAGGCAGACTGGGAGAGCCTGGCTGTTACCTGTTGTATTTGCTGAGGTTGTAACTCTGGAGCCCGTACAAACAACAAAGGAGGAAGAATTAGAAGGTGAACCCCCCCCCCCCCTTCCTTTCTGAGTTGCACTTATGGACAATTCTAATGCAGTACAATGCAGTAACCAACCACGCTGCTCAATTCTTGCAAACTCAGGTCCATAACTTCCTTGAATGATTCTATACTTCTAGAACTGGGTCTTTATCTTTTCCTTCTGCCTTCTACCTTACCAGACATCATTGTCTTCTAGTGATTTGTGTCTTTCTCATTATATGGCTATGATACTTATCTGGAAGTAAATTAAACAGAACTGTGATAAAAATCTGAAGAAGGATCCTTTGAAGGTTTATGCCAAGTTCCATTCTAAATGTGTAGAACTCGCTCCCCAGCGAAATTAGGTCAACGGCTTTCCTCTTTTCCTTCAGGAAAAAGTTGAAGACGTGGCTATGGGACCAAGCATTTGGATAGGCATTCGGATAGCAGGCTGACAATAAAATGACGACAATGCTATGGAAAATGGACTATGGACAGGCTTCGGGTAAAGTTGTTGATTGTAGAACTCGGACTTGATATGCCAACTAATTCAATCTGCACTATTTTAAATAGTTTTTAATCTAATTTTAATGTTTTACTTATTATGTAACTGTTTTTTACCTGTTTGTATATGGAGGGCATCGAATTGTTGCCGGCTGTAAGCCGCCCTGAGTCCCCCTTCGGGAGTAGAGAAGGGCAGGGTAAAAATATTTGAAATAAATTTGCACTAGCAGCATTGTGTCTCTTATACATAACTGTACAAGCTCTTGAGATTTAAGCATGCTGTTGAAGCAAAGGATGACTGTCACCATTCTTCTCCTTTTGGGAACTTCGCAGAAAGTGAGCTACAGATCTCATGATGGGAGGGCAAGGGAGCCTCTTGAAGGCTTAGGTCATGTGAAAATCTCTAATACCCTAAATCAGATCCCAATTGTTCTTGGAAGCTAAACACAAGTCAAAACTTGAATGAGAGACCACCAAGGAATCCCAGGTGCTGTAGGCTATCTTTCAGAGGAAGGAAATGGCAAAACCAATTTTGAGGATTCCTTCTCTAAGAAACCCAATGGGCATTCATGGGATCCTCACTTGAAGGTGACTTGAAGACACACACATGCACACACCCCACTACTAGTTGTGATACTATTTTTGAAATAATTTACATGACTCCAGCTAAAAATGTGACCTGTTTATTGTAAATGAAAAGCATTCATAACAGTGCAAACAATTCTTTGGTAGAGTTATTTAAGTACAATAAAAATTAACTAAGATTTCATTTTTGGTAGGAGATTGGTTTTTTTTTTTTAAAAAAGAAGAAAATAAATATGAAACAACCACAACTGAAAAAATACCAAGAAAATGATCATTCAGCCATTGGCCACTGTCTGAAAAATGTTATATGCAGTTTTAATCCACAGAACATATTTTTAAAAATTACAATTTCTTTTAAAATTTTAGACTCAGACCTATTTCCTAATCCAGTTTGCCACCAGATGTTTAGTAGGAACACATACTGACATTTATATCAATTTACATACTACCTGAAGAAATACTAATGTGGACTTCCATTTTATTTCAACAAGGAAAACCAGAGGTATGTTTGGTTAATGCATCAGTGGAAAAGATACTTTTAAATGACTGAAGCTGCAATCCTATATCCACTTAACCAGGGAGCAAACCCCACTGAACTAAAATAGGGATTACTTCTTGAATAAACATGAATAGGACTGAGCTACACAATACCTGAGCAGTTTCTTTGCAACAAAACAGCACTGGGAATAAAAGTATGATTACAGTTCATCTGGTTTCCTAAAGCTAGCAACATGCTTCAATAATAGCACTGGTTCTCATTTGAAAGCTTCTCTAGATGTGTCCAGATCCAGGGAAGTCATGCTACCTCTCTATTCTGCCTTGGTCAGACCACACCTGGAATACTGTGTCCAATTCTGGGCACCACAATTGAAGGGAGATGTTGACAAGCTGGAAAGTGTCCAGAGGAGGGCCAATAAAATGATCAAGGGTCTGGAGAACGAGCCCTATGAGGAGCAGCTTAAAGAGCTGGGCATGTTTATCCTGCAGAAGAGAAGGATGAGAGGAGACATGATAGCCATGTATAAATATATGAGGGGAAGTCATAGGGAGGAGGGAGCAAGCTTGTTTTCTGCTGCCCTGGAGAGTAGGATGAAGAACAATGGTTTCAAATTACAGGAAAGGAGATTCCACCTGAACATTAGGAAGAACTTCCTGACTGTGAGAGCTGTTAAGCAGTGGAACTCTCTGCCCCAGTGTGTGGTGGAGGATCCTTCTTTGGAAGCTTTTAAACAGAGGCTTGATAACCATCTGTTGGGGGTGCTTTCAATGAGATTTTCCTGCTTTTTGGCAGGTGGTTGGACTAGATGGCTCACAAAGTCTCTTCCAACTCTATGATTCTATTATTCTATGTAGGAAATGTAACAGTTTTGAAAACAAAAGCATAATGTGGGTTTTCAATAAAACCTAATATGTGTATTGGGAAATCAGAAAAGTTTTATTAAAAGAGATCATCTCTAAAATAATTTATGATACTTGAAAATGCACATCTTAATGCATGGGCATATTATCTATGAAATTGCCTTATAATGTAATCTTGTGTATGTTTATGAGGATCTCAGCCTCTTCATCCATGTTTTATGTAGCTTACATCCAAGTAAGTTCATTAGCAATTGCAGCCCTAAGTAATTCATTAAAGTATGATTTGTCATTCCATGTGTGGCCACAACACATTTTGCTTACCAGTGCCATTTTCAGATACTGTTCCTATCCCCATGTTTTTTGTTTAAGTTTTTAAAATGAAAAATGTTTGGCATTGTCATAAAATGTTAACATGCAATCTGAAAAGGGTAATTTCTTTTTTGCATACGGCATTCATTCTTTCTACCTTGATTCCTAAATGCTAATGATTTAAACTCAAATTACTTCAGCTATATTTTTACCATTAAAAATATCCTGGGATTTCATGGAAACACACTGCTAAATTCCATGAAAACCAAGACTGGTTCTCAGTAAGAAGCACCACAAACAAAGCCAAACATTTCTGTCAAATGAGGTATGAGTGTTTTCCTTCACATAGTGTAATAATACCTGTTGGCTGTAAAGAAGCAATATGGAAGATTTTTTAAAAAGTAAACAAAGGCAACACAGACATATATTTGACAGTGCATTCAAACAAGCTTGATTAGGAACAGAGATTCACATAATGGTAATTATTAACATGATTTCTGATATAATGACAATGGGAGAAAACTGGTACTATGCAAAACAAATCAACTTTAAAAATAAAACTAGTAAGTTTTTAATGTGAAGGAGCAGCCAATTCAGATTCGGCAAGGCTTCTCTCTCATGTATTTTTTTCCTAAATTATGCCATAATACAGGCAGTCCCCAAGTTACAAACACCTGACTGAAAAACAACTCATAGTTAAGAATGGAGGTGAGACAACAGGAAGTGAGAGAAATCTATCCCTCCGGAGGGAAATTCAATCCTGGAAGAGTTATCATGGGGAAAAGGTGTCTCCACTGAAGCTTTCTCATCAATCCTTGTTTGCACAACAAGCCATTTTTTTCAAAATCCAATGATCACAGGGACAGAAAGTGAGGTGAAATCTTCTGAACAGGGGCACAGACAGCAAAGCAAACACCACCGGGGTGTTAACTCTTCCCTGTGCTATCCAAAGATATATATGGTTGGATTTACATTTCAAAAATGTACCTGTTCCAACTTACATACAAATTAGGCTTCAAAAGAAATCTACAGAACCTATCTTGTTCATAACTTGTGGACTGCCTTGCATAGCTATGAATGGAGCCAGTGTGATGTAGTGGTTTGAGTGCTTGGACTACAACCGTAGTAGAACAGGTTTCATATCTCTACTCAGCCAAGAAATCCCACTGGGTGACCTTGGATAAACCACATAATCTTAGAAAAGTTTAGGGTCATTGTAAACTGGAAGTGACTTGAAGGCACACAACAACAGCTATGTTTTAGAGTAGTGGTGACATTCAGTGATGAGTAAATCAGTAGACCTCACTCAGGCCCATAGCCAGGATTTCGATTCGGGGGGGGGGGGGGGGCTGAGTTTGTTTCGGGGGGGCTGAGTCTGAGTGAAAGAGGGTCTACCCTAGCAAACCTTTTGTATTTACCCCAATACCCCCATGCATATGGGATATATTGAGTATGGTGATCAGATCATGATATGAATAAACATAACAGTTTAAATAATGCACCAGTAAGCCCCTCAAGCCTCCCCCCTCCGGCTTTCGGGGGGGGGGGGGGCTACATGCCTGCGTCCTCACTGAATGTCATCACTAGCTCCATGCCAAGGGACTACAACTGAATGGGTTTCATTTAAAGCATTTTAAAGCCTGCATCTTTTATATAAAATTTTGGTCTGTAACACTGTTTTTCACATTTCCAAGATAGTGCTACAGAGTGCTATATGTATGTGCATATAAATGGGGAAATGCTCTGTAGTATGAGAAGTTGGCATTGTACTAAGTGGGGCAGGAATAAGGCTTCTAAACAACTGTAGAACAGATAGTTGCCTTTTCTCCATTCTTTGATCACAACACCAGGAAAAGCTGTACCCATGGATAGGTAATAATTAAAGGTACAAGGCATCTGCCTTCCAACCAACTAACCAAGTGCAATAGGTGTAACCTTGGATATAATCTGGGGTCCATATTAAGATCTGAATAGCTTACTAAGGCATGCTCCAGGGGCAGGAGCAACGTGTTTGCTAAATTGCACTATGGGAGGTCATCATGCAAATAATCCCAAGTTAATGATGTTAGCTGTTGCACAGTATTGTGAGATCCCCCCTTAAAACCAATAGATGTCATTGTTTCAATGATCATTTGATTTATCTTTGTAATAATATTTGCCTTCTAGAAATCATTTTTTAAAAGTTTGCTTTTACTGTCCGTAGCATGAAGAGGGTTTGTGTATGTGGGAAGTATAGACACCATCCATGATGTCTTGATTTTAATTGTTAGCACCATCCAGAAAAAGGATGATAGATTCAGATATGGGCAAGAATGCCAGAATGCTAATATTGTGTTTCACTAAGCCAAACTAGATTTTTCAGTATCATGGTTATTCAGTAACTCCAGAATAACTGCTGTCCAGCACATAAAGTGTTGTTATGAACCAAGAACCTGTACCTGTGAGGAGCGGTTTTAATTTGTGCCATGAATTAACGAAGTTGGGCTCTACCAAGAGCTGGAGGGGGATTCTACCTTCCTACTCTGGAGTTAGTAGAAGGCAACTTCCATTATCCTTCACCATTTGCCATTTTGGCTAGAGCTCATGGTAGCCATCCAACAACATAAGGGTGGTCAATAGATTGCCTGCCTCTGTACAGAACATGAAAGATCATTTAGTTGTTTCCCGCAGACCTGGCTTCTGTACTCTTTTCTCTAGAAATTAAACTCCAAGGTTGGGCAAGGTTGCTCCTTCCACTTCAGTGTGTCCCTGTGGTGCTAGAGGTTGGAAGCTATTCCTATCTGTTGAGGTGGAAGATAAGGACATTTTGATGGACTAATGCAAACAACATGCTCTCATAGTAAAGAGTTAACATTTAAATGAATCAAGAGAGATCCAGAATAACCACAAAAAGGCTTGCAACTCAGGCTAAAGTTATCTTGCTTATTGGTCCATAGAGGTCTTCTCCACAATCTACCGCTAAAAAGATACAATTGTGTGTATTCCAGCAGTGTCCTTCCCTGCCACTTCACTATATAGGTGTGTGCAGTGTGAATATATTGTTTGATATATAAATGTTTGTGGCAGGGCTCAGTGAGCGGCTCACTTGTAATCAGGCACATGTTTTGCATCCGTCTCTTAGGCACTACTTTAAGAAAGGAAGACAGGATAATTAAAGACAGGGTAGAGGTTAAGACATTAATACTGCCACTAATCCAGGGAAAAATCTATTGCAAAATGTGTGTTCTCCCTAGATGTGGAACTGCCATAGGAAGAGGAACTGACTGACTGGCTGACATTATAGCACCACTAGCTGCTTTACTTAGTCTGATGTTCATCTCACAAAGGTTTAATACCATTGTCATCAATATCCAAGACAGCTGGCAAGAAAAGTATCAATACTGGGCCAGAAAGAATATTTAAATAAAACAACAACAAAGCTGTGGCTCCCCTTTTCTTTCAATGGAATGGTCCCTGGCTTTTGCCTACCAGTGTGTGCAGAAATATAAACGACACTGGGAGACTCAAACTACTTGAGAAAGGCTTCTTTTTGAAAAGTAGTACCAGTTTTCAGTTTGCAGAACCTGAGAAATTTTAACACAAAGTTATCTTGACCTGTATTTTATATTCCCTTTCAATACTTTCACACTGTGGCTTTTTAGTGGGTTGGCAAGTAAAATGACACATCATCCGATACTGTTACACCATCATTTGAATGCTGTCCTTCATTGTCTTGATTTGCTGTTGTGGTTTTAAGCCTACTGTTACCTGTATTTGCCATCAGCAGATATCCATATGACTTGGTATGTGACAGTTGCAAAGCAGATTTAAGGTTTATTCGCCTTTCTAATAGTTTGTTTTAAGCAGACAGGACAGCAAACTCCTTTGAGCTTTACAGGTGTAGCACAATCATTGGGCGGACACGATTCCACGTAACAGGTTATCTGGCCGACCTGTGTTTGGAAAATTGTAGTAATGGTTTAGCATATAAACATTACTAAATAAATTAGCAAAAGAGATTCAATATTTGCATTATGAAGTCCTCACGATAGGAATTATAGCTTGAACTACTGAGACACAAATACATTATTACTACAATTCTAAATATTAATATGATGTATTTCCTTCCAAAATAAAAAAAATTAAACCAGTTATTTTAGTAATCTGTGGCCTAGAGAAAATAATTGTTCCTAGCTTGCATATACGTCAATGAAATCAAAGATTATAATGCTAAAATTCTGTATCTTTATAGAAATTCTGGATACAGTATTTGGTTTATCCTGAAAACTTATTAAAACAAATTTATAATAATTGACCACAGCCTCCAACCAGAATGAATTATATAAACTACACAAGTTGCCCTATAATTTATATGAATTATTCTGAGTTTCATAGTCATGGGAAAGTGGCATAAAACAAACATGCCACTAAAACCGTGCCTCTCAAACCATTATGAATTCAACTATTCCTTGTTTTTTAAAGCACTGATTATAGTAAACATTGAGCTAGTGAGAAAATTACAAGCTTTACTCTTGTTCTACTCAAGTAACGCCTTGCTAAATCAAGCTGTAATGAATTAGGCAGCGCCTTGCACAAGCAGACTCAAGTTATTGAATGTGATATTTGATGCAAATGGACTTCTGCAAATGGTAAAAATGACACACTTGATATCGGTAATACAACTCATTAGCAATACTGAAACACCAGCAAGCATATCGGCACAGCCATTATGCTTCCCCCTTTTTAAAAAAAACAAAACAAAACATAAGAATTGACATTCTCAAGCAGCCAAATGATGTGCTCAATTTACACTCCTTGGAAGTACTTATTTTGGTGAAGAAGCAAGCCAATAAATTGAACAGTAGATTGCCTCTTTGCCAGTGAAACTGCCGAGGCCAAAACAGCAAGGTGTAATTGTATAGGTAAAGGTTTCCTCCTGACATTAAGTCTAGTCATGTCCGACTCTAGGGGGTGGTGCTCATCTCCATTTCTAAGCCAAAGAGCCGGCATTGTCCGTAGACACCTCCAAGATCATGTGACCAGCATGACTGCATGGAACGCCATTACCTTCCCATAGAAGCGGTACCTAATGATTACTCATATTTGCATGTTTTCAAACTGCTAGGTTGCTAGAAGCTGGAGCTAACAATGGGAGCTCACCCCATCCATGAATTTGAACTGCCGACTTTCTGGTCAGCAAGTTTTGCAGCTTAGTGGTTTAACCTGCTGTGCCACTGTGGCTGCAATTGTAAGCATGCTTAATTCCTGCATATACGACCAACCAGTGCTTTAAGCCACATTAAACAATTGACATGAAAGTCATGACTGCTCACCTTGCATTCACATGTGGTACATGAGTCTTTTTTCCAGGTCTCATTACTGGAATAAGATTTGCCATTTTCATCAGTGCATTCAGTTCTGCTGAGCCGTGATTCAAGTTTCTTTATCTGAAGCAAGAAATCTTGTGTTTAGTCATCTATGCTAAAAGGATTTCCAGGGCTTTTTGTGTGCAGTAAAACATAGCCCAAGAAATATACTTTATCCTTTTAAATACTGAAGTCTTAAAAGTTACTGATATGCTACACTCTAAGCAATAAACATACTGAGAGATACTTTACATGGTATTACATTATGACAATGCTATAAAGGCTCTTAACTCTGAAAACCATTATAGATGAGGAAACATTTCGTACCTCAAATGTCTTTCTCCCAATGTTCTCAGACTGCTAAAAAAACTCCCAGATTATTCTCTGGGCCACAGAGAATCTATTATTGATTGCTAAGCTCCAGATCATTTCATGTGATATCTCTCAGGTTCTATTTCTTTCTAGCATTTTTCAGACAATATAAAATCTTAAATGGAAATCTTGAGCCACTCAGTTAGATGGATGTTTTAAGCCAAATATTATATATGATAAAACTGTAGCCATTTAAAGTATACATAACATTAATGAGTCACAAGGAGAGGTGGGTAACAACAAGAACAACAACACACCAAATGATTCTGGGACTTTCGCATTCAGACTGGCAGAGTTTTGGAGCACAATACTCCTGACCTCATGATTGCGGAAAAAATGAAGTATGGATCGTTGATGTTGCAAACCCAGGTGACAGCAGAATTGATGAGAAGCAACTGGAAAAGCTGACACGATATGAGGATTTAAAGATCCAACTGCAAAAACTCTGGCACAAGCTGCAATAGGCCACCGTACTTGGATCTGAACACATCATTTGCCGATACATCACACAGTTCTGGACACTTGGAAAGTGTCAGATGTGTGATAGAATACAAAAGCCAGTATAGTGACCTTGTTTGCTGTGTACTAATCTTGTTGTGTATCAAATAATAATAATAATAATAATAATAATAATAATAATAATAATAATATCTTGTTTTTGTACTATAAGTAGCAGATGGAAAACCAAGTGCCTAGCACATATTTTAGAGACACAGGGAAGGTGGGATCACTAAGGACGTCCTGGGAAGGAATCCCACTGGAGCACTGCAGCACACCAAAATACCTGGGAGTCACTGTGGACCGTGCTCTGACTTATAAGAAGCACTGCTTGAATATCAAGCAAAAAGTGGGTGCTAGAGATAGTATCATACAAAAGTTGACTGGCACAACCTGGGGATCACAACCATACACAGGGAAGACATCTGTCCTTGAGCTTTGCTGCTCTGTTGCTGAATACGCATGCCCAGTGTAGAATATATTCTACCATGTTAAAACAGTGGATGTTGCTTTTAATGAGACATGCTGCATTATCACAGGATGTCTACACCCAACAACACTGGAGAAATTATACATTTTAGTTGGTATTGCGCCACCTGACATCTGTCAGGAAGTAGCAGCCAGTAATGAAAGGACCAAGGCACTGATATCTCCGGCCCATCCCCTGTTCGGGTATCAGCGAGCATGCCAATGCGTTAACTCAAGGAATAGCTTCCTAAGATCCGTGGGATCACTGAAAATGCCACCATATTTTGTTAGTAAGAGGCAGCCTTTCAACTTCATATCTATCCTATTTTAATAAAACAAACTGGCAATCCAATACTCACTTACCTGAGAATCAATGGGTCTTAAACTCTGCATGCATGCTCACATTTCATGTTTTTCCCCTACACTGAATAAATATTTCCGAGGTTGATTACACTATGTAACAAAATTTGAAAAATGTTCTGTTCCTAGTTTGAAATTATTTCTTGTTTAATGGTGTGGTACTGAAGTTTGAAAGTAGTTGTTATACTCGAGAAACTTTGTTTTTGTGGCGGGCACAAACTATGTTAAAGTGGTTAAAACTCTATCAGATAGTCATAAAAAATATAGAACAATGCCCTGCAGGATGTTCCACAAAAATAAAGTTTTTGCAGTTTAATAAACCTTTCCCATATTTTTTATGATAGAATCAATTAGGAAATGACATTTATAACCCAGGGACAAAAATTGTGTTACATAGTGTTATTATCATAGTGTTATTTTGGTGCTGACCTGTTTTCTGAGGTCTGTAATAGTTTTTTGCATATCGCCAACAAATTCTTTGAAGTCATTCATTACAGGTCCTTTCTTGTGCTCAACAAGGGATGAAATTGAACTATTTAAAAGGTTATCCTCTCTGGCAAAACTGAAATGAGAAAAAGTAACCAGTTTGTTACAGAGGAAGAGGCACCAAATTTGTTCTACAAAATGTGAGTTTCTAAAGGCTGGCAGGTCTCTGTTGTGCATCATGAGGACAGTTTCCCATAGTGAATGAATTTTGTCCTGCTGAGACAGCTGAATGTTTCAAGACAGAGTTATTTAGTCTTAAGAGGATAGCTATACAAAGACCAAAAACCAGTGTAGTCTAGTATAATGCTAAATTACATGATGATGTAGTTCAGTCTCTTCTGTGAAATGCTGTGAGATGCTTGAAATATGTTTCTACCAAAATATTTTTCATATTGCATGAAATCATGACAAAATAATTGGAAAAGATGGAAGGCATGCAGTTCTCAAACAGAGGCAAAAATTATCAGTGACGTTATCACTTCTCAGTACATCAGCACGGCAGTAATTGTAAGCTGCTAGTTCCCACAGGGTGAGGTCCTCAGTCCACTTATGACTGTGTAAATGTATCTCCCAGTATTGCACAGTGAGTTGTTTGATTACTAGGAATTGATAGTTCACGAGGCCCCTTCCATCTCCATGATTCTAAAAAAACCAAAGCATAGAAAAGTAACAGTAGCAGAAGGACTGAATGGCTGTTCCAAATCCATTGCCCAGTTCTCAGGCAGCAGAGTAGGAGAATTCTCAATAAACTGTGCTGAAGGAAGCTCATTTAAGACAATACTCTTTGTGTCACTCTACCACACAGCCCTATATCCCAGAATATCAAGGCAGAAAATCCCACATTATTTGAACCCAGTTCAAAGCAGATATTGTGGGATTTTCTGCCTTGATAATCTGGGATATAGGGCTATTTAGAAGGACCCTGGGATGCAACATTCCCCAGAACATTGGTGGAATGAAACCATGGTGTCCATCACTGGTCAATAGCAGTGATGGATTAATAAGAGGTCCCAGAACACTGGAATACAACTTACTACATATCCCTACAATTTAAAGAGAAGTCTCCAGGACTCCAATAAAGCATTTTCATTGGGGTATGTTATATGTCTTAACGAAACCAGTATGATATAGTGGTTTGAGTGTTGGGCTACTACTCTGGACAACAGTTGGAATTCCCGCTCAGCCATGAAAACCCACTGAACGACCCTGGGCAAATCAACTCAGAAAAAATTGTTGTAGGGTCACAGTGAGTTGGTAACAACTTGAATGCACATGACAGCAACAATTATTGTTGTTTATTTGTTCAGTCACTTCCAACTCTTCATGATCTCATGGATCAGGCCATGGCTCCTTGTCAGCCATCACTACCCCCAGCTCCTTCAGAGTCAAGCCAGTCACTTCAAGGATACCATCCATCCATCTTGCACTTGGTTGGCCTCTCTTCCTTTTCCCTAGCATCATTGCCTTCTCTAAGCTTTCCTGTCTTCTCATGATGTGGCCAAAGTACTTCATCTTTGCCTCTAATATCCTTCCCTCCAATGAGCAGTCAGGCTTTATTTCCTGAAGTATGGACCGGTTGGATCTTCTTGCGGTCTAAGGCACTCTCAAAATTTTCCTCCAACACCACAGTTCAAAAGCGTCTATCTTCCTTTGCTCAGCCTTTCTTATGGTCCAGTTCTCACATCCATAGGTTACAATGGGGAATACCATTGCTTTAACTATGTGGATCTTCGCAGACAGCAATAATATGACATATATTTTCTGAGTTTTGAATGTATTTTAATTGCTTAAGTGCTTTATATGGTATATCTGTTTACATTTTTTAACTTTTGTGTTTTATATATAGTTCTACTTAATATTTTGTTTTAAATTATATTGTAAGCTGCCACACATCCCATACTGGAAGAAAGGCAAGATAAATAAATAAATAAAATTATGAAGCAGTAATAATTATGACTATTCAGTCTAATAATGACACACACAAGTTCTTTGTGTGCTGTAGCGCAAATGCAATCTCCTAACCCTTCTTTGTTCTTCATTGGCTCTGACAGCGAAGACATACTGGGATAGCAGAACCCTGTGTGGTGAATTTGTTGTCATGTGCCTTTAGCAGTCCTGGAGCTGCAGTGGCACAATGGGTTAAACCCTTGTGCCAGCTGAACTGCTAACCTGAAGGTCAGTGGTTCGATTCCGCAAGACAGGGTGAGTTTTTGTCTGTCAACTCCAGCTCCCAATGTGGGGACATGAGAGAAGCCTCTCACAGAATGGTAACACATCCGGGCATCCCCTGGGCAATGTCTCTGCAGACGGCCAATTCTCCCACACCAGATGTTCCATCTGAACATGAGGAAGAACTTCCTGACTGTGAGAGCCGTTCAGCAGTGGAACTCTCTGCCCCGGAGTGTGGTGGAGGCTCCTTCTTTGGAAGCTTTTAAGCAGAGGCTGGATGGCCATTTGTCAGGGGTGATTTGAATGCAATATTCCTGCTTCTTGGCAGGGGGTTATACTGGATGGCCCATGAGGTCTCTTCCAACTCTTTGATTCTATGATTCTAGAAGCTACTTGCAGTTTCTCAAGTCACTTCTGACATGATAAAAAAGCAGTCCTGGAACCTTGTTTAGGTATGCAGAAAGCAAGGGAGGAAAGACATTGGTGGAGTAGGCTGAAAGTATAAAATGCTGGTCAGCAGAGACCAAAGAAACTGTAATGAAATGATTTTGCATTGGTAAAGCTGGACATTTTGACTCGCATTTTAAAAACCCACAAAAGGAAGGAAGTGTTAAGCAGACTTAAGCATCTGAATTGTTTTACAGTAATATCTCAATACATGGACTGGGTGATGCTAAACTAATAATTCAGTATTTACAGGCATTAGTAGTGGGGCTTTATCAGTATAAAGCTCTGAGGTAATGAACATTGCAGGAGAGTGAAAATCTCAAATGCTGAATGTTTTCTGTTGAAACATAGCCAGAAAAAGAAGCCCACCCAAACTCTCCTATTGCCTCTCTATTGTTTCCTGCTGCTTTCATGAGACATCATAGGCTTACATGATAGAGTCCAGGGGATATATTTTAATATCGCTTTGGAAAAGCATGAAACAGAAATGTCTTGCATCATGTACATCATGTCATTCTTGTTGCCGGTTCAACATTCCCATTTTTAGGCAGATATTAAAACGCACACTTCAACCAAAATACATCTATATTTTATGAATACTTTCTGTCACAAAGGGAATCTGTTCCTACCTTTGTAAAACCATCTAATTCAAGGTTATATAATTATCAGCAAAGGACTTCATGCATAGATTATTAAGAGGATCTTAAAGTCAGAGATTGGAAAACTTAGTTTTCCTAGTGCTGCTTAAAACTTTTGCTTGCACAAATATGATGAGTCTAGTTCTTACATCAGTTCTTCTTCATTGCTTGCGATTATTTCAGGAGATCTTGGTTGGTTCTAAAACCAATGTGGTATTGTCATTTGTGCACTGGATTAGAACTCTGGAGACCAAGTTTCAATTCCCCGCTTGAGCATGTAAACCCATTGATTCACACATTATCACTCCCAGAAAACGCTGTGATAGGATGGCTTTAGGATCGCAATAAGTTGGAAATGTCTTGAAGGCACACAGCAGCAACAACAACAACAGTTTCAACCAGTGCATTGCTGCAGTATTAGTCCTTGTCATTAAATGTAAAATGATATACCAAGTCAAATGGCATCAATCCCAATGGAGGACACCAAAAAGGTTAGGAAAAGAAATAGAACCTGCCACCCCGACCCCCATAATGATAACACGATCTTTAATTCTTACCAACATGCTGAGCTGATTAAATTAATATAAATTATAAGACTGCATACAGTGCAGACCAGATGACAGATGTATCTAGAACAGAACTATTTCACACCGTGAAGATTTGGCATTAACTTGAAAAGAACACTGGCTGGCATGTGTTCTTTTTATCATGCATTATATTCTGTTGGTGTAATAGAAAAATCAGTATTATGTTCCTGGAATTCATTAGACTTGCCGCTGTTTTGTCTAACAAATGGTTTAATCTTTCATCCCACCAGGTTATTGAGATAAAAAAGGATAAAAGTCAGCCCAGGCCAGGAGAAAAGAACACAGATTTGAAACATTTAATTTGGGGATAATGTATGTATTATTATTCTCTTATGAGAAATATAGTCCTGATTCGTAGCAGAATGAATGTTACCTATTCTAGAAAACACTTGTATTTAAACATATTAACTACATTTTATTCATCAAGGTTACTGTAATACAGTACAACCCCATATCCATGAGAATAATATCTGGTTTCCCCTATTCACATTTGTGCAATATATCCTCTGGGAAATTGTACAAAACGTTTCTGTCAGAAGTTACCATAGAGTCTCCCTGGAGGACCTCACAAATTCCTAGAGAGGATAGCTCTCTAAGAATTTCTAGGTCCCCCAGCATGACTCTATGGTAGCTTCTCATGGAAAGTGTTCATTTCAGTAGGGTTAGCTATTACCCATGGTTTCATGTTTCCTGTTTCCACAGTAGGTTTAGGAACATATGCTCAACTTAACATGTTAGAATGGTACAGTCCTAAAAATACAGGATTCAGCATTAAGAACCCAAAATTATTTTTCTATAGGCTTTTCCGGAAGCACAATAAACTCGATATTCAAAGGAATGCTGGCTAAGTAGTTATGAACATTCCTCAAATTGATTATGAAAATGTATTCCGTGATTTGCTGAATCTATATATATAAATTTGTTAGGGGCATCCAACGAGGAAACAAAACTCAAAAACCCCCCAACGAAACTTAACCAAAATTCCCATGCCCATAACACAACCCACAAGGTACAAACATATCTACTCAAAATGAAAAACAACACAACAACACACTCACAAAACGGCAAAACAACAAAACTCAAAAAACCAACGAAACTTAACCAAAATTCCCATGCCCATAACACAACCCACAAGGTACAAACATATCTACTCAAAATGAAAAACAACACAACAACACACTCACAAAACGGCAAAACAACAACACTCAAAAATCCCCCAACGAAACTTAACCAAA